GTGCGGATTAAGGCCAGGGATTAACCTTCTGTCCTGCATCGATACTTGCTCAAACGGCTAAGTTGTTGGCAAACTTACCTCGCCTTTTCAACCTTTGGTTCCCTTGCGGAACAAAACTATGTGGTAAGCTCGTACCAAGGACTTCCGTGCCCTAATCCCTGGCCTTAATCCGCACTGGAAATACACCCTAAATGTGTAAACGAAACGGCCGCTCAACTCTTACTCAAGCCACGACGACCAACCTATCAGAAGAAAAACTTAATGACAAGCCCCTTGGCCGTGTCTTGCCGTGTTTCCCAGGGCTTCGACACCAACTGCCCATCTAATTATTTATCATTCAGCCACTTAACGCCGCCTGGTATAAAATTCGGTTTTAGCCGAAAACGTTTTGATTGCGGTTGCACAAATGCGCATCGGTACCTACAGCCATCCAAACAGTTCAAACTCAACAACAACACGACCCAGCGCTGGCAGCGAAACGATGAATGATACGGAGAGCAGCAGCAGCATAGCACCGCGCATTGCGCCGCCATTTTCGCGCCAGGATGATTCATTTGACTCAGCACAAAGCGAGGTGACGAGTAAGTGACTGTAAGGTAAGGGCTATAAGGTCGCCGCCTGTTCAACCACGCGCTTCCCTCCGCTAATCTCTAGCGAGCGCGGGCTGGACCCATTTCCCCTTGGAAGCCTGAGCGTGACGTCCGTCGCTTTCCAGAACCCTACTCCTACTAACGTTAACCCTTCCCCGAGCTGAGCAATAGGATAACAACACGCATATATTTGAGTCCTAACACAGGCCAGGCCTAAGGACACGATGGAGGTGTGCGTGTGCAGCTGTGTATAGTTTTTATAACACCGCTGTTTGGCCTTTGGGTGGGGGAGGGTGTCCCGGCTGCCCTGATTGGAATGGCCCCCTCCTAGGCTGGGCCAGCTTGCGCCCCCCTCCCAGTCCTCCGTGCGTTATCGTTCTCTCACAGTTTGGCTTGTGGCTGCAATCCAGCAGCATACAGAGGGGTGAGAGAGAGAGAGAGCGCGGGAGGAGGAAAGAGAGAGAGGGGTGAGAGAGGACGTAGGTGGTGCCACCTTCAGAAGGAGCAGTGCGTAGCGATAGATACAAGTGTGTGTATGTGTATATGTATGTGTATATGTATGTGTATATGTATGTGTGTTACACCTCCTTCCAGAGATGCGATTCCACCCTCCAAAGATGTCACCTGGAGGGGCCCCGTACATACACCCGGAGCCCTGATGGTGGGGCCAAGGACCAGGGAGGAAAACGCGTACATAATATACGCTGTAGATAGAGCGAGTGCGGCCAGGGAAAGAGGAAACCTGCAACCACCCGCTGCTGACGACGTAACCGGGAGCCACCCAGATAGATAGATAGATAGATAGATAGATAGATAGATAGATAGATAGATAGATAGATAGATAGAAGAAAACAAGTCGTCCCCAACATCACCCAAACAATGGCCTCATCCATCATTGCGAGTCAGCTTAGGAGCCGGGGGCTATCTAAATCGGAATTGCTCAACAGCACACTCACCTCAGCGGTGAACCTTCTGCTCTTACAAATGGAAAACAGACAGACAGACAGACAGACAGATAGACAGATATAGGGAGGGTTCGATTATTTTGGGGGTTGGGTTGCATCGGGCGTGAGAGGCTGCTTTGCATCTTAAACAGTCAACCGGCTTCTCTGTGGGTCACAGTCATTGTACACCTCCACCCCTTACCACCATGGCCACACCACCACCACCACCACCACCACCGCCACCACCCACCACCACTAAGGGCCCCGTAAGTCCCCGTCCCTCAGTTCCCTCAGTTTCTTCTTCCTTCTTTTCCCTCTCCTCATTGAGCCACCAAATTGAGCCACCGAGAACTTTGGGCAACGCAAACAAGATGGAAACATGCACGACAAACCCTTTCTTTCCTGTAAATTTTTGTCTAACTGTATTTAACTGGTATGCCGGCACGATCAATTTATAATTACAGGATACGGAATACAGACAGACACCGCGTTCTGATGATGTCGTGCGGGAAAGGGCCCCCTTTTGCTTCTTAACAACTGTTGTATCACGTCTTTTTTTCAGAAAATAACCGATCGAGGGATGTCAGACAGATCCCGGGATACCCTGGATACTACAACAAGGAACACCATATCGCGCATGCCGTACAGCAGTACTACTGCCATTTCGCTGACGTGTGTCGTCATCGTGTGCCGCGTATTCGCTTTTACATTATAAATCAAAATATTATATAAAACATTGCCACAGTACGGTATATATGCTGTAACAGAGTACGACACTACAACAGCAACATTAGGCGGTCGATAATCGCCGTACCATGCCGTACAGGCACGCGGCAAGAAAGGGCCTTTATGGAAGTCAAAGACCGTAACATCGGGACGACACAGACGTACATACGCACATACAGACATACACCCATTTCACACATTAAATGATCCCAACACCAGCCCGTCCGCCCGCCAGCTATGTACGATATCTAAACGGCGCCGTACCACCGTACCGCCGACGAAATGACGCATCTGGAAGGTCGGAGGTGGCGGCCAGGGGACCCCGTCAGGAGGATGTAGAATGGCGGATGGTGCAGGGCCTCGCCACTTGCCTGCCTGCGCGACGGCCCATACACACACACACACATACCCTTACAAGTAGTAACCCGTCTCAACTCGCTACCAATACACACACAGACACACGCACAGACAGACAGACAGTCACACACACGAACACAGACACCGTGCCCCGACCCAGATCCTCTTTAACTCTACTCTCGTATCTTCCCATCTCTCCGTACACATCTCTCCGTACATATACGGCATACGGGGCATCGCGATGCGTTTCCTTCTTGCAGCCAATTCTCTACTACACATTACAGCACGCGAACAGGTAACTAGACTAGTAATAATATCCCCGCTGCGAATTTTCCCCTTTGTGTTTTACCCCCAACGCAAAGCCCCTTCTCCATCCCCTCCCCCCACCGCCCCTCCTCTCCTTATCCCTTGTCGCGCCAAGCACTATAATCCCGCCGCACTCCGATTACTGACGCCATTCGTCTAGCACATCTCATGCCAACTTTCCCCGAACAGCAGTAGCGGCAGTAGCACTAGTAGTAGCACTAGCAGTAGCACTAGTAGTAGCAGCAATAGCAAAATTAGAAAGGAAAGAGAGAGAGAGAGAGGTGTCAGCTGGCTGCAGAAAAGAAGAAGAAGAAAAGATAGATGCACTCGCACACACAAAAACACTCGCACACGCACACTCCCTTCAACATACTACATGCAACAGGCGCAATCCGCTCACCGGCTCACATACCCACCCCCACCCACCCACACGCACCAAGATGGCAACCGGATCACAATAGTCGTACCCATACGCGACGGCGAAACCCACACGGTCCCTCCTCCTGCTCCAAACCCCTCGTCCCCCCCCCACGCACACACACTCTTGATCACATGCTCGCATGGACATATGCCCTGATACACAGCCGTACGTACATACGTACATACATACCTACGCCTACACATATATATAATACGCCTTCTTCACCGGCACTCGACGTTGTGCCGTCATGTACTCGAGCTGTGTGATTTCGTGCCTCACCGGCCACACTCTCCCTACTTCCATGCCCATGTTACTGAATCCCAGGAGGCGGCAGAGAGAATGAGGCGATGAGGAGGAGGAGGTGGTGAGGGAGGGGGAAAGACGAACCACAAACGAGTGAGAGGGAGGGGGAGGTGGGGGAGAGGAGGATGTCACAAGTTGAAACCCTTTACACCTAAAAGCCATGTAACCCAGATGGCAGTTGCCGCCGATACGTTAACCCATCTAATCAAAAAATTCAGGAAAAGTGTTTTTTTGATGTGAGGTGATGTGAGGTGAGGCCACATCTTCGCCATCCATCCATCCATTCGTCACTTCAGTCACTTCAACAACATCGCGCAAAATCACTTTAGGACGCCTCGTCATCACACCCCCCGCGGCGGCGGCGGCGCCATGCTGCGTGTATAATAACTAGGCAACGTTCACTCTTTTAAGGACGTTTGCGTATCAGGACAACGAGAAATATATTTTTTTTAAAGTTCGCGCTGGTTTTTCGTTTTTCTGCAGGTTTTTTTTCCTTCTTGGTCTCTGTTTAGGCATGGCTTCGGCTTCCGCTTCAGCTTTAGAGAGAGTCAAAACAGCGGGCCAAGTATAGGCGATAGCAGTATTGGTCGTGTTCGTGGTTGTAATAAAGTATTTGTGCAGGTTCGTGATTGGCGGGGGGTGAATTGAAGGCTCGCGCAGCTAGCGGCGGCCAGGGCGCGCCGGCGGGGGTCGTATCGGTGGCGGCCGTCGCGCCGGCGGTGGTTCATCATCAACACTGCCGCTATCCTCACTGTCGCCACTTTCCGAGCTCGGTGGCGCAGCGGGGCGGC